CCGTGGGCCGAGCCCCCCCACGCCCCCATCCCCTGCGCCCCCCTCGCTCCTCCGGTGAGCCCCCCCCACCCTGTGCGCCCCCATCCCCTGCGTCCCCCGGTCCTGTGAGTGTCCCCAGCCCCATCTTCAGGGCCTCCCCGTCTATCCTCTTCCCTCCTCTGGGGGCGGTACCTGTTGGGTGGGCGGGGCCTGTGCTGCTCTGACTCCGCCCCTCTTTGCTCCTCCCCTCGCAGGCTGCACAGCTTCGCTACCACCATCCGCCAGGCAGTGCTGGCCTCCCTGGACGATGAGGCGGTAAGCCCCGCCCCTTCCCCTGGCTGGCAAGGGAGGAAGTCCCGCCCTCCTCCGCTAGTATTGGCCCGTGGCAGGCAGCTGGGTGGGGAAGTCCCGGCTTAATAGTCGGGAGATTCCAACCAGGAGCACAAGTCCCGCCTCTTCCCCCAGCAGTGGCCAATCGCAGGCTACCGGGACAGGAAATCCCGCCTCGCCTGGAGGAAGGACATCCTGTGAGGGGTAATTGCCCCTGTGGAGAGGCTGCCCCAGGGAAATGGGGGGCAGCCCCAGTTCATGGCCATACCCCCCGCTCTAACCCGCCCCTCCCTGCAGACCCACACGCCGGACATCGGGGGCCAGGGCACCACGTCGGGGGCTGTCCAGTCCATCCTGCGTCACGTCCGCACGGCCAGCGGCTGGAGCCAGTGCAGCTAGGGCCAGGGTGAGCCGGACGCCTGCGTCCCTCAGGGGGGCGGAGCCGGAATGCCTGGGGCCCTCGGGCGGGATGGGGACAGAGCCGGGAGCCCGGACGCCTGGGTCCCTCGGGGGCGGAGCTGGGAGCCCGGACACCTGGGGCCCTCGGGGGGTGGGGGGGGACGGAGCCGTGAGCCCGAACACCTGGGGCCCTTGGGGGGCAGAGCTGGGAGCCCGGACACCTGGGGCCCTTGGGAGGGCGGGGGGAAGTCGGACTCCTGGGGCCCTCAGGGTGGGGGGCGGAGCCGTGAGATGGGGAAATCTGGGAGCACCCGTGTCTTGGGTGGGGTCTGGTGGGAAGGAAGGGGGAGCCAGGACGCCTGGGTTCTCTGACCCCTCTCTCTCCCCCGCAGGGGAGGACCCCACTCTCAGGCCAAGGCGAAGGGGCCGCGCAGGCCGGAGCCCCCCAGCCGGGCGACCCATGGGGCAGGACCGTAGCCCCCTGCCCCCCCGTCCATGTCACTGCTGCTGTGTGTCTCTCTCGCTGTGGGGCCAGTGCCCCACGGGGAATAAATGTCCGTCTGTCTCAGCTGGCTCTGCCTCCTGCCTGGCCCCTGCCCGGACACCTGGGTTCCCTCCCACCGTGGGGAGGGGTGCACTGGGAGCCCGGACGCCTGGGTCCCTATCCCCCCACACGATCACGCGGACACCAGGACTTTGTCCAACCATTTAATCAAGTGTCACAGGCTGGGGGGGGGGCAGCCCCCTCCCCCTCGCAGGGGGGCCCAGACGGTGCCCCCAAACACCGACAACCGGCCCCACCCCGGCACAGGGCAGCCCAGACGCCTGGGTCCCTGACACGCACGCCACAGGGCAGCCCGGACGCCGGGGTTCCTGGAGGGCGGCCGGACGCCGGGGTCCCTAGGGGCCCAGCCAGGGGTGCTGCAGGC